ATTGTGCCGATGGGGCAGCTGATTCAAGTCCTAGGTTACAGTATGTTCTGGAGCCCTACAGAGTGCTACCTCGAAGATTGCAATGGCCACAGAACCCCGTTGCAAACAGATGGAGGTTGTCCACAGGTTTGCGAGCTGGAAGCACTAACCCTGATTGCGCGCCTCGAGGATCGTAAGCTGGAGGAGCTGAAGAACGCCACCTTGACGACCAAGGACAAAGTCCAAATGTCAGCTATAGCTATGGAGCGAACATGGGATGTTTTCCTTCTGGACTATGTGTCGACTGGAGCGTTTGAGTCCGGTCTTCGAGCGGTCCGAGATGCTCCGTTTTTCCGAGATGTACCTGGAGAGTGTGTGTCCAATATGATACCAGCGGATGGCTTATGGTCAGGTTGGCAAATCATGAAGCAGCTGGGCTATTTCACCAGAGCCCAAAGGCGGAGGATCTTGAGTGCAAAGCGATGGGTGGTCCATTTGTTTGCGGGCAAGGAGGGCCACTACGAGATCATGAAGCTTGACCAGGGCGATACTGTTGTGATCGAGCTTGATATTGCAAGGTGCCAAGGAATGGACTTGTTCCGCTCTGAGACGTGGCGGATGCTCATGTGGGGTGCGAAGCAAGGGAAGATCGATGCCATCATTGGCGGTCCTCCTGATCGAGCTCATCAGCGGGCTCTCGGCGGAAGCAGAGATGTCCGATCCATCGCCTTGGTGTCAAGAATGATATGGTTACATGTAATGGCGCAGGTGGGTCGAGAAGTTAACGGAGGAGTCCATAACCATAATCGAGAGGTCGCGTTTATGATAGAGTACCCCGAGGGCATCGCACAGGAGCAACGTCGAGCACGGGCAGCTGAAGTTCAAATCGCCGAGGATGCAAGTAGAAGTCCTACAGATCACGGAAGAGTGGCGTCATGGGAGGAGTCTAGGCGATTGTGGGCCACAGTTCAAAAATATCGCCTGGAGCAGTACGAGGGCGTGGCTACTCTAGATGGTGCAGCGAGCTTTTGGGATACTAGGTTATGGCGGTCCTACCAGCGTCGAGAAGGTTTACGGACAGTCTCCTTTGATCAAGGTGCAACTGGAGGGTCAGCGCGAACAAGGACCACACTAGGAACAAATGTGAGTGGATTGGTCGCCTTGAACAATTTGAGGATCGACGAAGACGACCCTTTGCCAGAGAGCCGGGACGGTGATGATGTGTGGTCACCTGGACTGGTCAATGCAGTGGTGGTCGCCCTAAGTTTTTGGGATCGCGATCCTCGTCCTGCTCTTTCACTACCCCACTTGCAAGCACTAACAGCGGAGCAGTGGAAAGATCACGTCAACAGTAATCATGCAGTCTATCACAAAGACTGTGCCACTTGTGTAACAGCGAGAGGCACCGGGAGGCAGCACCGTCGTGTTCATCATCCAAGTGCTTATGTGTTGACGGCGGATGTTGCAGGACCAATATCACCAGGTCTTGACCCAACTTCGAAAGGAACTACTGGACGTAATATCAGGTACCTCCTCATCGCGAAGTATGTTGTACCAAAGACCTATGTGACTTTGTTCTCAGGCCAGCAGCCTCCACAAGATGATGGAATGCCAGAAGTCAAGGAGGGTGAGGAAAAGGGAACGGAGAAGGTCTTTGATGCGGCGTTGGACGAGCTCTTCGAGAACAGTTCGGGTCTGAAGAATTCGGAGGAGGTGGCTGACTTCGATGTGGAAGTTAGGACTGTGCCTAGAGAAGATGATTCAGGACTGGTGGAGGAAGATGACAATGAGTATGAGCCCTCAGTCTACGATGATGATGAAGATAAGGATGTGGATGTTGAGCACCCAATACAGAACTCAGTGATGGCTGAGGGGGACTGCGAGGCTCCGGAGATGACCTACCTCACGTTTGCCACAGGGTTGCCTAACAATCAGGCCGCTACGGTGAAGAAGGGACTTCAGGATGTCGTCCTCTACCTACAAAGGCATGGGTTTCCCATCTTTCGATTTCACGCAGACAAGGGCGAGTTTTACAATCATCGACTTCGTGGATGGCTACGTGATCAAGGGATTTATGGAACGTGGTCCGAGCCGGGTGTTCCACAGAGTAATGGACATGCCGAGTCAACAGTCAAGTGGGTGAAGGACTCAATCCGCACCTACCTGAAGAGCGCGTCCCTGCCAACCAAGCTGTGGCCTACAGCGGCGGAAGCTGCATGTGCAATGCAGCGCTCACGAGTCCTGGGATGGAAGAGCTACCTAGCCGCGCCCTATGGCTCAGTCGTTCATCTGCGAAGGAAGCCATTCGATAAGTATGGACCGCTAAAGCGGGAGCAGACCTTGGAGTCGAAATGGCATAGCGGACGGTACGTTGGCCTTAGTACGATACTTCAACGGGGCCATCTGGTCTACATCCCGGAGGAGGGTGAAGAGAAGGAGAAGTTCTTCCACACGTTACATGTCCGACCTAACTTGGTGGATCCTGGGAGACCCGACGTTGAGCTACAAGCAGACGAAGTACCAAGGCCCAGACGTCGGGTGGTGGGAAAGAAGGATGCCGCGGAGGTTGAAATGAAAGCTTTGAAGAAGGTTCCGGAGGAGACACGTGACATGGCCACAACCGAGGCCGAGCTTCTACTTCGTGACTGGGATTATGACAAGGCGTGCGCTTTGGTGAGGCGGCTGGCTGGGAATAAGTTCTTCGATGACAAGAAGTTTGGAGTTTATCGTCATGGAGGAGCAGTGGGATGGTTAACCGGGATTTTAGAATACCCGGCATTGACAAAGTTACTGACAAGGATCATCGTTGAGGTGGTTCCAGATGCTTCCTTTACCTCAGTGCTGGTGTCGTGTAATACTCCAAGGGGAATCCACAAGGACATCAACAATGACTATAACACGAAGAACTATGTAATTCCACTATGTGTTCCGAGTCGTGGCGGTGATCTGTGGGTAGAGCTTTGTGAGGGAGATGTTGTCCAAGGTCAGATCGAGCAGCGATGCGCAAATGGTAAGCACCTGTATGGGCAGCGTCGTTCACTATGTCATGGAGAAGGTCTGGAGTTTTGTCCAAGACGCTACCATGAAGTTATGGAATGGGAAGGGGATCGTGTAGTCATGATCGCATATACACCAGACTGCCTGGGGAAGTTGTCCCAGGATGACATAAATGCCCTACATGAATATCACTTTCCGGTACCTCTTTCTCAGCTTCCTGAGTTCTATGGCGATCTGAAGACAGAGCGACCACACCCCATGATTAACTCGGTGCAGAATGACCGTGTGGATGATCATGCTGCTCTACTACATGACGGAGAAGGATGGACGATGTATCTGGACTTAAATCCTGGACTAGTCAAAATAGCAGATGACCTAGAGCCAGCGGTGGTTCCAAAACTTCGGAAAGCAGAAGTGGGTTACACCAGGAACATTGAGCAGGTTCTGGAGAAGCTCACTAGTCCGCTAGAAGTGGTCCACAACGTGAGTCCGGATGAAGTGATGTCCAATTTGGAAGCGTGGAGGGCGGCAATCATCAAAGAGGTGAAGGGCATAGAGGTAGCAATTGAGCGACTTCTACCAGGGTCAGATACAAGGAAGCAATGGGTGAATACACCTGGTGCTCAGAGATTACCGATGAAGTTTGTCTTTACGGTGAAGCCACATGATGGAGCAGTACAAGATGACAGGGCCACATGGTACAAAAGAAAGGCTCGTCTGGTGATTTGTGGAAACATGGCAAGGGCAGAAGATACGTCTTTATATGCAGAAACAGCTCCAGCAGAAGCAGTACGGACGGCCCTTACAATCGCCAGTCGTAATCACTGGCTCGTTGCTATACTTGA